AGTTGAAAGTGGAATAGTGTTATCACAGAGAGCAGGGGTAGGAATAGGGAAAGGTTGATTAACAGGACTCCATTACAGTGAGGATTATTACAGGATCAAGAGGTTCTAATACATGGTGAAATGTACAGACTATACATTTCAGAACGTTAAAAGAGGAATTTTGGAAGTTTTGATTATGCAGAAAAGATAAATCTTTGAGGAGCTAAACATGTTTCATCCGAGTTAAACTATTCAATATGTGCATTATCAAATATTACATGGGCCAACCATTAAGTTGTTCACTAATATAAATAACTTCTATGTTTTTATGTGTCAGGTAAAATTTAAGTAAGCTTAAAATTTTTTTAAAGCAAATGGTTTTGTTTTGTTTGTCTTCAGTATTGGGGAATGAATTCAGGACCTGTGCTTGCTAGTATGTGCTTTACTACTCAAGCCAGGAGTGAGTCCTTTGGTTTTTAGTTTGTTTTTTAGGTAGGATCTCATGCTAACCTTGCCTGGGATGACCTCAGACTACAACACTGTTCTACCTCCAATCCAAAGTAGATGGGATTTCTGGTATGTAACACTATTCCTGGCTTGTTTTTGAGATAAAGTCTTGGTAATTTTTTGTCATGACTAGCTTTTAACTTCGCACTGCTCCTGTCTTTGCTTATAAAGTTACTGAAATTATAAGCATGCATGCCCTGCCATGCCCAGACTGTTCAATGTTAAAGTAAAACTTCCCTTTCTAAATTCAAAAGCTTGAGATTTTAGTTAATCATAGAGAACTGTTTTCAAGAGAGATTTGTGAAAGGAAAGATAGGAGGAAAGAAGGGAGGAGCCAAATAGGAGAAAAAGACAGAAAAAATCTTTCTATGTATTTCTACCCAGCCTTAAAGCAAATTATTTTTCTGCTGAGCAAGAAGCAGTTGTGTAAACACAGACGATGTGGCTGTGACTAGCAAACCTCTTTTTCTTCATGTAAAGAAATGAAAACCAAAGTCAGTTGGATATGCCAGAACTATTAACACTATTCTGCGAGTGGTTAGGGATGGGCCTTTGAGCTTGTGGTTCCAAGTCTTGGGAACATGAAAAGGCCTTATAAGAAGCCTCTTTATATAGACATCTGGGTGCTGGTGGCTGCCTCATACCTTTAATCCTTACTACACAGGAGGCTGAGATCTGAGGATTGTAGCTCAAAGCCGGATTGGGCAGGAAAGACTCTGAAATTAGGTGGAAAGTGTTAGTGTATGCTCACCTTTGGTCCTCAGCTCTACCCAGATCTGGGCCAAAGAGCTGGCTCCTCCCTCTCTCTGCCCAGACCCACCTGAAATCCCATTTACCACACTTTCTTTCTCCTCAGACCCTCCTGCTACCTGGATGGTGATGGAGGCCATATGCTCCCTCTTGGGGAAAATATGGCTCCTCTAACAAACCTTATAATAATCTTTCTCCTGTGCCTGCCTGCCTGCCTCTGCATGGTCCCCTGGTATGGATGTGTCTGATCCTCTTACAGAAAATCTGTGATACTTCTATCTCCAATTAACTACCAACCAACCAACAAACAAATAAACAGGCTGGAAGTGGAGCTATAGCTCTAGTGGCAGAGTGCTAGTCTTCATTAAAACAGCTCAGGGCCCAGACCCTGATTTCAAGAACTAGGACCAGAACTAAAAAACAAACAAACAACAACAACAACAAAAACAAAGAGGCTGGAAACGAAGCACAGACTATAGGAAAGTCTGGATAATCAAAGAGACTAGCTACTAAAGAGGGGAAAGTTATTCTAAGTTACTCATAACACAGAAAATAATCCTAAAATTAGTTTGCTTTATGCTTTGTCCATGCTGGAGAAAGTGGCACAGGGGAATCTGAGTGAAGTTTGATTACTATTTATCATCACTAATCAATAATATTATGGCTTAAAATAATAGGCTACAAGTTCCTGTTGTCAATTTAAAGCTTTTTAATAACTTTTAAAATTAAAATGAAGTGCCCACTTTAGGTTATTTTCTAATAAACATCACAAAGCAAAGAAATCATAAGTTATTGTAGGATAAATTTCTGAAGTGAATTGGAACAAGTTTTCTTAGCATAGTAATTCATACGTTAAGTTATCCACAGCGGCTCATACTAAATGGATTTAAAAAAAATTTCCTTCACATCCCAAGGGAATAAAGAATACTCCATAAGAAGCTTCTTGTTACATTTCCCAATTTAATCAGGAAGACCTTCAGAAACCTTAGGAAAATATCAGCCTTAAGGAAACCTTCAGAAGCAGCTACTTATTCAGTCTGACATACCAGTGTTGACTCAATAAATGATGTTGACTAATAAAAGATAGCAGCTAGGAGTTCATGGTTCGCACCTGTATCCTAGCTACTATGAAGGCTGGAAAATCACAGTTCAAAGTCAGCCCAGGCAGAAAAGCTCTTGAGATTCCATCTCTAATTAGCCAGCAAAAAGTCAAAATGGAGGTGTGGCTCAAGTGATGAGTGCCAACAGTGAATAAGAAGGCCAAGCAAAGAGATGTAAGGCCCTGTGTTCAAGCACTGGTAGTAGAAAGATAGAGAGACATGCGCACACACACGCACACACACACACAGAAAGAAAGAAGGAAAGAAAGAAAGGAAGAAAGAGAGGGAGAGAGAGAAAAAAAGGAAGGAAGGAAGGAAGAAAGAAAGAAAGAGAGAGAAAGAGAGCAAGTGAAAGAAAGCAAGCAGGGAGGGAGGGAGGGAGGAAAAAAGACAGGAAAGGGAAGACAAGAAAAGAGAAAGAAACAGAGAGAGAGAGAGAGAAGGGAAGGGAAAGGAAGGAAAGGGAGAGGAGAGGAAAGGGGGAAGGGCAGAGGGAAAGGAAAAAGGAAAAGGAAAGGAAAAAAAAAGGAAAAGGCAAGGGAAAAAATGAACAGCAGATGAGCAGACAGGACGATTCTTATTATCTGTCACTGTGAGAAGCCATCCCCTCAATGCATGGATGAGAATGTAGATGGACTAGTACAAAATCACTTGTGCTACAAAATCTAAAGCAAGATATTTCAAAAAGGCCAAGATCGTCTTTGTATAGTGCAGTATAAAGCTATAGCATTACCTTTCCCTGAGAATAGATGAAGTCAGTACTAAAAAATTGTTTTGAATGCTGAGAAATTTCTAACTCAAGAACTGAGAAAATTAAACTATACAACGAATTACTTGTATTATAGTATTTGGTGTCTCATAGTGTCATTTAGTGTCACGTATCTCAGAAGTTTGTTAATGGGGAAAAGTTTTTTTTTAATATTTTATTTTAGGCTTAATATACATTTGTAATACATGGGCATTTTCACTGTGATATTTCTATATGGGCATATAGTATACTTTGAAGAAATTCACCCTTCCACCATATTTCCATTCTTCCCCTCCTTCTTCCATACTTTTTCATACAGTGTATAGTGTGTTTTATTATGCTTTATTCATATGTGAATGTCTATATATGAATATATAAGTATATATTTATATATAAATATGTAAATTATATATGTGTATACATATTTTATATATATGTATCACTTTCTGATATTCTTCACAAAAATTAGGGTAACTTTTAATTAAGATCTCATTGATCTACTCATTATTTAACTCATTCCCTAAACTTGAGTTTTAGCGCCCCTAATTCAGAAATCCAAATTGCCTCTAAAAATATGACTTTTTGAGCACCAATATGACACTACAAGTAGGACATTCTATGTCATGAAATTTAGTTTCCTATGTAAAATCATTACAAATATTGTATGAAATTGCTGTCAGGCTAAGAAAATATGAAGTATATATGGAAGATAAATGAATTTCAGATTTTAGACCTATCTCTAAGACTGATCTAGCTATAATATTTTAGTCCTATCTCCAAGATATTTCATTATATCTATGTATATATATTCAGATAGCCAAATAAAATAACCAGAAGCCAGGCATAAGAGTTTAAGCCTGTAATTCTAGATACTCAGAAGGCAGAGAATGAGAGGATCTCAGTTCCAAGGCCAGCCCAAGAAGTCAGTTAGTGAGACCCACATATCAACTACTAAGTTGGGAATGGTGGTGTACATCTGTCATCCTATGACAGCTATGGAGGAGTCATGAATAGAAAACTGTGGCACAGGCAAAAATATGACAATTTATTAAAAATAGCTAAAACATAAAGGCTTGCTGACATGGCTTAACCATGAGGCCCTGAGTTCAAATCTCAGTACCACTTTCCCGCCCCCAAATCAAAAAATATAGGATAAAGGATGCTCAATCAATACTGCTGGAATCCCCCCAAAACCACAAATCTAATCATATTACTTCTCTTCCCAAAACCTTCTAATATTTCTGTAATACTTATGAGAAAAAGTCCAAATTCTACATTACAAAAAATCTTTCATAATCTGATCTTAACCTACTTTCCCAGTTTCTGTTCTTGCTAATTATTTTCATTATAATGTGATTTATTACATAAAATCATTTATTCTATACACACCTGTTCTTTTAGCATTAGAGTCTTTCACATATTGTATTGTTTGACTAGAGTATTCTATTCCCTGTCTTTCCTTGTTTTTTAAAAGCTGAGCTCAATTATTGTTTGTTTTATGAAGCCTTTCAGGATTCCATCAGTTGAAGTGTTTGATTCCTTTACATGCCTGCACAGAATTTTGTGTATGTTCTATCTACCTTATAACACTAGACATTTACATCTGTCTGTAACGAATTAGGACCAGAAGTCAAGTGACATCCCCTGTTCAAAACATCAATTCTGGTTCATAATAGAATTAAATAACTATTTACTTGGGCTTCCAATTTTTCAACCATTTGCTAGTCTTTGAAACGATTAAGTATTTTAAAAATTGTCTTACTCAAAATAGTTTGAAATAAGATATTTTTGCTTTGCTGTGCTTATTAATTACTTTAAACAAACAGCACTATGTGAATTGTTCAAATATTTTCATTTAAAGCTTAGTGAAATTTCCTGCAAAACTACTTTTAATTTTGATATATGGAAATACTTACTTCTATGTTTGGCAGAGTTATAGTCACCTGTTCACCTTTGCCAACCTCAAGATCTCCTTCACAAGAAGTGTCAATAGAAGCAGGTTTGAAATCATCTTAAAAAAAAAAAGACACAACAACTGGTGTTTTTTAACAAGCTAAAGCAATAATTGCATATCAAAAGCATGAGCATGCTTCAGATAGCCCAAATCTTTTCCAAATCCAGTACTTAAAATGGTTTAGAAGAATCTTCATTGTAACCCCTGTACAGTATTTTCACAATAAAAAAAGAATCTTCATATAATGAATAAAAAAGGAACTCAATTTATTTCTGTAAGCTTAATTCTGAGGAAAAAAAGGCAACAGTTATACTCTTAAACAGTATTCTTCAAACAATGCTAGGATCCTTTTAGACCAAGATGAACTAGACTAAGATGTTCTACTGCTAAAAGCTAATGTCAGGGATTGTACAACTTGCTGAAAAACTGATATAGGTAGTTTATTTTTGTCAGTCTGTCTCCAAGAAATTTTTAAAAAGTATGATTCTGACTACCATTTGTCTGTTCTCCTAGCAGAACAAAACAAATGTGATACAGCAAGTGTTACTGGGGAAACTAAAAGAAAAAGCCACCTTTTTAGTTTAACAGTTTGAATTCTTCATGGATACGTACTCCGCTAAAGAATGTTAAAGTTTAACCAAATTTGCCTTAAGAAGAACGTAAATTTAATTCTGAATTAAATCATAATTCAAATGATATCATTTAAAATCTATCATCTAGAAGGAATTTAGGGTGCTGAGGTATCACATACTAAAAAGTTTTTAAGTTCTTCTTGGTTTGGAAATCTGTTCACTAATTTCACCATTTATCCATTCTTATTTCCTTCATCTATGTAATTTTTTCAGGTTTACAATAAAATTACTTCATATATTGCTTCTAATTTTGTATTTAACACTTTTTCCATCAATATTTAACATTTCCTGATTATTATGGCTTATCACGTTAATATTTTCATAAAAGAATCCACAATTACTATCATTAATTTCTAATGATTTGAACTAACTCAATTAACTTCAAAACCCTGACTTTCCAATATGTCAAACTGATAAGAGGACTTTAATTGTTAACATAATTTTAACTCTTTTTAATTCATATAAATTCTAGATATTGCTTTACCCTTTATCTTCACTACTTTATGAGGTGAGGGCAAGGGTATTCACTTAGAGAAATGTAGGAAAATTTTCTGTAATCTGTTTATCAGATTATCATTTATTTCATGACAGTAAAAAAGGTTTCACTGAAAAGTTAGGAAATTGACTGTTTATACCTTATCTGGTATAAATTACAAAGCTAGCACTAGCCCCAATCCAAAATTAATTCTAGCCAGGTGTGGGTGGCTCACACCTGTAATCCTAGCTATTCAGGAGGCTGACTTCTGAGGATGAAGATCAAAGCCAGCCCAGGCAGGAAAGTCCAGGAGACTCTTATCTCCAATTAACCACCAGAAAACCGGAAGTGGCACTGTGGCTTGAGCTGAAGAGCTGAGGGACAGTACCCAAGCCAAGAATTCAAGCCCACGACTGACAGAAAAAAACAACAAAACAACAACAACAACAAAAACACAAAAAACTCTTCCACCCAGTGAATTATCTATTGCTAAGCATTTAGTTTATCATTGTTAAAATATCCTATATCCTCTTTACTATGTCAGGCTACTTCATGACAGGTCGGTCTTATTACCAAGCTCTAATACCTGTTTTCTAGTGTTAAAATATATTCATTGGAACTAACATATGAATATTTATTCTTTATCACATAACAAGCATTGTGCTAGGTTGTTTTGCTATCTTAGTCTTCATAAAATTTTAAAATATAGACATTATTATTACTACTTTATACATGCAAAAAGTAGGGCTGAGAGTAGGGAGAATATTTCCAAAATCATATTTTATATATTGAGCATAGGTGGGAGCTAGAAACCAGGATTCAAAACTATATTTGTCTGAAGTTCATAAACAGGAAAAATTGGACCTGTATGGAATGATAGAATATTACTTTCTCTCAAAATGCTTTCTATAAATTAGACCAACTTGCCCTGCAGATTCTTGTGTGTGTGTGTTTGTGTGTGTGTGTGTGTGTGTCGGTAGGGGAACTGAACTCTGGGCCTCGGCGCTGTCCCTGAGCTCTTCAGCTCAAGGCTAGCACCCTACCACTTGAGTCAAATGCCACTTCTGCCTTCTTTCTGCTTATGTGGTGCTGAGGAATTGAACCCCAGGGCCTTGCCTCATGTATGCGAGACAATCACTCTACCACTGAGCTAAATTCCCAGCCAGCCCTGCAGATTTTTTATTCTCTGAATTCTATTTATTTATTATCTTTAGGTAGTTGTGAAAAGGAGTTGCCATTTAACAAAGCAGTTTATGAATGAGCACAATGCATCTTGAGCAATGTCAACTCTGTCAACATTCTCATCCATTCCTCCCCTACACACCTCTTTCCTTACTCTTCTTAATTTTGTAGGATATACATTGGATTGTTGACCAAATTCTCCCCACCCTTTTTTCCTCTTCCACTCCTTTCCCCTTTCCTCTACTCCACCCTGTTCAAGTACCTGCTTCCTGGTGTTTATTTTTTTGAACTTTGATTGCCCCTCAGTGGATGAATGGATTAAGAAAATGTGAGATAGATAGATAGATAGATATAGATAGAGAAGATACATATAGATATAGATTTATACATATACACAGTGTAATTTTACTTTTTTATTGGAAAAATGATATTGTACTATTTGTAAAGAAATGGAAAGACTTGGAAAATTTTTGTTAAGTGAAGTCGGGCCAAGAGACAAAGGATGTACATTTTCCCCTTATATGTGGAAGCTTATAAACTTGTAGATAAATATGTAGAGTAGTATGTATGCAAGTCTCCCATTCTGAATTCTTTTTTTTTTCTTTATTTTTGTTGGTTATGGGGCTTGAACTTAGGGTCTCAGCACTGTCCCTGAGCTTTTTTTTTTTTTTGCTCAAGATTTGAATTCTACCATTTCATGCCACAGCACCACTTCCAGTTTCTAGTAGTTAATTGGAGATAAGAGTCTCAAGGACTTTCCTGCTCCGATTGGCTCCCCCCCCCCCGCCCCCCTCTCTCCTCCCCCCCCCCGCAAACGCCGCCGGCCCCCCCTTCGGGCCCCCCTCCCCTCCCCCCTTCCATTCTCCCCCCCACCCCACCCCCACCCCCGGAGTTGTGGGGCTTGAACTTGTGCTCCAGGCTAGCACTCTAGCACTTGAGCCACAGCGCCTCTTCTGAATTTTGAGTAGTTAACTGGAGATAAGAGTTGCTTGGGGGGCTGGGAAGGTGGCTCAGTGGTAGAGCGCTTGCCTTGCATGCAAGAGGCCTGGGTTCGATTCCTCAGCACCACATAAGCAAAAAGAAAAAAACTGGCGCTGTGGCTCAAGTGGTAGAACGCTAGCCTTGAGCTGAAGAGCTGAGGGACAGCGCCCAGACCCAGAGTTCAGGCCCCACAACCGGATCCCCCCCCCCCAAAAATTTAAAAAAACAAGAGTTGCTTGGGAGTTTTCTGCCTAGGCTGGCTTTGATCTTCAGACAGATCTCAGCCTCCAAGAACCACTGGCACCCGGCCAGCCTCTGAATAGAGGATTACATTGGAAATGAACCTGTTCTCAAGGATAATTATAGGTTTTATTTAAATAAATCTAAGATGAACCATCACGCTTTCTTCAAAAGGAAAACAAAAGACTTGAAAATCTTGTTACTGCCTTGCACAGGACATAGTGTGCATTAAAAATCTAGGCTTATTAATTATTGTGGTAATGAATATTTTTATTGTCAATCTTATAAGATTGTCTAAATCTGACCTTGAAAATATGATTCTTGCATTTTAAGAGCTTTTATAGAGCTAAGGACGACAAGTGATTGTCTATTTTGTCAGCTGAGGCTTCTATTCCCAGCCTCCCAAAAGTAAGTAAATAAATAAAATATAAATAAATCTTTGCAAGCTGGCGCCAGTGGCTCATGCCTGTAATCCTACCTACTCAGGAGGCTGAGGATCACAGAAGTTTGAAGCCAGCCCTGGCAGGAAACTTTGTGAACCTCTTTATCTCCAATAAACTGCTCAAAAAAGCCATAAGTGGTGATGTGGTAGAGTGCTTACCTTGAGTAAAAGAAGCTCAGAGACAGTGCCCCAGGACCAGCAATAAAAAAAAAAAAAATTAAAGAACAACCAAACCCCACAAACCTTCACAATAAAAACCTTTTAAGTAACTGAAAGCTGTTTTTTGTTTATAAATTTAGATCTATTCAAAATTGTATCTGAGTATTTATTAGTGTTTGCCACAGTATTTTACATGAATGTAATTACAAAAGGCAAGATACTTTTAAAAGGCTATATTTCTTTTTTAATGTTTTTTTTATTATTGTGAAAATACTGTACAGAGGGGTTACAATTACATGGGCAAGATAATGAGTACATTTCTTATCAAGCATTGTAGCCTCCTTCTTTGTAAAAGGCTATATTTCATTTATTTAATTTGGAGCTTATGTCCTTAAGGAGAGGATATACTCCTAAGTTATACAAAAATATTATTGAACACATTTTTATAATCTTTAAAAGTTGAAAAATTAATGTGGAGATTACCATATATCTGAAAAGGAACAGGAAAAAGAGGAGATACTATTTGAGAAAAAGACATGGACAAACCAGGTACGAATGGTTTCTTATTTTTCAAAAACAGGACTGAAGAGAAAGAGATACAGAAGAGGCTGCACATCTGTCACTGTCCTATAGTGGTGAGCATTTGGTGACAGAGTATGGTCATCTATGGAAAAATAAACAAGAAGCACTGTTAAAAGATCTTTGGTTGGCAAATATCTCCTCCATGTTTATTTTCACCAAAGAGATGTTCACTCTGCTTCACAGAACTCTTTTACAGGATTTAAATACATCTCTGTAGGATTCTATCTAGGTTATCTACAACTTAACTACACTTCTGAAATATATGAGTTTTAATTGGATGTTGTGATTGAATCAAAGAACATGTCAGTAAAAATCATAAAGGCCAACTCGACAGCATATCTCAGAAAGGTGAGATGAGTGGATAGTAAGAAAGGGCTGGGCTGAGCTGGGAAACAGAAGTGAAAATAGGTTATGACTGAACAGTCTCAAAGTTTCTTTCCTGCTCTAGAATCTTGAATAAGCTATTATGCAAAGAAGAATGTCCTACATACGTAATTATATACACTCTATGGTTTTTTCTGAAATCTATACTAACCAGCTATTAATACAAAAGAGACACTTTTAAATCTATGTCTTCAAACTAATTTCAGAGGGCAGAAGGTAGAAATCATAGGGAGGTAAAATCCAAATAAAAGAAATTAATAGCACACATCTCAATACTTCATTAGTATTCCATAGTAAAACTGAGTTCCATATGAGATGCAGACTCATTGAGATGGTCGAGACTCTGCAAGAACATGCCAAATCAGAACCTCATCAGCTAAAGGTGAGAGTGAAGGGTGTCTCACCAACCTAAGGCATTCCTTTTGTCCTGCATTTGGTCCTTTATTCTGTCACCCTATCGTTTTCCTTTCCTCGTCTTCAGTATCCACTTTGTCCTCTTAGTCTTCTGTCACTCTGCAGATCTACTCAAAAGTTTCCCTTCCAGGCTGCAGATCTCACTTGAGTCTACCCAGAGTTACCCACACCTGCTGGGCGCCAGCTCTTTTACACGTACCCCTAAATTCCCCGCAGGGGTGGTAGATCATGCTGCAAACACCCCACTCACCCCCGCCCCTCATCTTTGGAAGATTAAGAGGGGCTACACACCCCCGCTTAGGAAACTCCCTCTTCTCCCCTCACTCACAGCGCACCGTGTGGAAGGCGCAGCGCGGCTGCTTCTCAAAACTCTGGCCTAACTTGAGAACTCGCTCTCGACGGCCCAGATGCGAAAGTCCCGCCGGCCCATTCATCGTCAGGCTCTGGCTGCGACTTCGCCTTCACCACCATCTGCCACCTCAGCCTGAAGCAGCTGCACTTGTAACGCAGGTCCCCGGAGCCTGCCACAGACTCCGCCCCACGCCCTACACGCACGATCCTTCCCCCCTCCTCTAGTATCCTGATTGGCTGCCGGGCGAATGACGCTCCGCCTCCTTGGCGCTGAGGCTCCCGGCTCCGCCCCCGCCCCAGGGCCCCCTTCCCGCGCGCGTCGCGACGCGCACGCTCCGCAGAGGCCGTCACGCTCAGGTGCGCGGCGGGAGTGGCGTGGGGGGAAATCTCTGGTGCAAAGGCGAAGGGAGGCTGAGGTAATAGGCCTGAGGCGGTGGCCCGGGTGAGGACGCCCGGGATCAACTGAAACGGGCCGTGTAGAACCTCTTCACGAGTGAATCGGCCTGCGCCAAGCTCTGTGGAAATCGGAGTGGAGGTGTCGGGAACTAGGCCCGAGTGACTTGCCCAAGGCCTGGTAGCGCCCAAACCGGGTCTGGAGCCCGCGGCCTCGAGGCCTCCGAGCTCAGAGCCTTGGTGCTGGGACTGGGGCAGCGCCGCCGTTACCCGGACATTGTCTTTCCGGTTGATCTTTGCTTAATAGATCCTAAAGCCAGTCGCTAGTGGTATTGGACTGGCAGAGGGAGGGGAAAGGTGGATTCGACGCGTGAGCGAGTGGGTCCGTTGTAACTGCGTTGCATTGGGTTTCTTTCTTTCTTTTTCTTCAGCCTAGTGCTTCGTGGAGGAAGTAAAGGAAGGGCACAGCCAGGAGAAGTGATACCCAAACGATCGAGGCTAAGGCTGAGGCCTTGGAGCTGGCCACGGGGTAACAGCGTTAATACCTTGACTAGTGATTGTCCTCTTTTCCGTCCTTGTTCCTGTTAATGGATTTATTGTAAAGATGGAAGAAATACTGTATTAAAAGAGAAGCACCCAACAAATTGTTGGTATAACAGATGATAGGTTTTTTTTTTAGGTAATGTGTATAATCAGACTACAGGGTTTTAACTTACAGCTCAACTCTAGACACAGTTGCCCGCTTTTCTGTTTATTTTTTTTCTCCCTCAACCTATTTGTCTAACTTTTATCCTTTTTAAGTATCCTATTTTTATTAGTCGTTGACACTCTTTCATAGTAGTAGCCGGGGGTCAAAAGTCCTACCACCAGGATCTCTGGATTCTGCTTCCTACTTCAATATAACTGTGCAAACAGTCAAACTATTTAAAATTACATATAGGGGAAAATAATAACTATCCCTTAGAGTTGTGGAAGCAATTAGGAGTTTATACATGATATTAGAACAATTCATAGCACACAGAGCTCTCCGAATGATTAATGTTATTATTCCTAGTTATTATCTCATTTTTTTGTGATATTGGGGTCTGAACTTAGGGTCTAGGCTTTCTAGGCAAGGGCTCTACTTGAATCATGTTCCCAATCAATGAGCGTCAAGATTAAAAAACAGTTATGGGAACTTGGGGCATGGCTCAAGATGTATAACACCACCTGCTTTGCAAGCACAAAGTTCAACTCCCTGAGCTCAAATTCTAGTGCACACACACACACAAATTAATGATCAAGAAATATATTAAAGTTAGCACAAGACTCTGAGTTCAAACTCCAATACAGGCATGAAGACCCACACACCAAGAACTAGTGAAAATGAAATTTGCCCAACCTGACTGATTAAAGAAATGCAAATTAAAACAAAGCTACCGTTATTCATCTTATAAGTTGGCAAAATTTTAAAATTAACATGTGAGGCTGGCGAGGTGGCTCAGTGGTAGAGTGTTTGCCTTGCATGCATGAGGCCCTGGGTTCGATACCTCAGCACCACATAAGCAGAAAAAGCCAGAAGTGGTGCTGTGTCTCAAGTGGTAGAGCACTAGCATTGAGCTGAAGAGCTGAGGGACAGTGCCTAGGCCCAGAGTTCAGACCCCACAACTGACAAAAAAGAAAAAAATTAACGTGTATAAGTCAGCGGATAATAAATTGAACATTTTAAAACACTATTAGTGGCAAGTATAAATTAGAGCTCTCCAGAGAAAAGTACAATCTAATCAAAATTTGAAATATGTGTACCTTGTGATTCAGCTAGTATAATTTAACCTACAGGAATACTCCCTTGAGCTAATAATGACTTTGTACATTGATGCTCATTGCATCATTGCATATAATTACATACAAATTGAATGATGTCCAGTAAATGGGAAGCTTAAATATATTTTGAAGCTCTCTTACAAAAGATGCTTAGTGTAATGCAGCCTTTGGAAAGACTAAAATCATTATATTCTCTTAGAAAGTTTTATGCCTAATATGTGGTAGTTTTACTGGGTTTTCCTCAAAATATCTTCAGTGAACTTGTCTTTTAATGATTTATATATCACCTAATAAGGGTGATTTTTGTATATAGCTAATTCTTCAACATAAAATATTACTATAGTTATGAAGAATAAGCTAAAATAAAGTTACAAGTAGGCTGTTGGGGAAATATGTTTTATGTGTTTACTGTTTTATATGGGAGGAAGTATAAAAACATTTTAATTAACATCATTGACTTTATAGTCAGCCTGATCTGATTTGATAGATGTAATGACTGATGGAGTCATTACAAGTTTCATAACTTATTCAAGTTTTTCTTACTGCAAAATGCAGATGATTACCTGAGCACTGGTGGCTTACGTCTCTAACCCTAGCTACTCAGGCTGAGATCTGAGCATCATGATTTGAAGCCAGCCTGGGCAGGAAAGTCCATGAGACTCTTATCTCCAATAAACTATTCAGAAAAAGCTGAAGTGGTGCTGTGGCTCAAATGGTAGAGCACTAGCCTTGAGCACAAAGAAGCTTTGGGACAGAGCCCATGCCCTGAGTTCAAGCCCCAAGACCAGCAAAAAAAAAAAAGATGAAAAAAAGAAAAAAAAAGAAAGAAAAAATGGAGGTGATTATAGGTACTGCTTTTTCATCCCATTGTGGAGATTAAATAGGATAACACATTTAAAAACACTTAGAATTTAACTCATAGTATAGATTGTAAGTACTTGTATGTTAATTTCTATTAATTAAAAGTAAAGAAAGATACATTCTAATTTGATACATTAAATTGAATCAATGTTTTTCTTTTCTTTTCTTTTTTGAGATAAAGTCATACTAATTTGCCCAGGCTGACTCAAGTCCTGTGTAGCCCAGGCTTGCCTCAAACTCACAATTCTTAGTGTTAGAATTAGATGTGCACCACCATGCCTGACTTTTGAGTTTCCATTTAAAACATTTCTTTTTGTATGTGTAGTAATGGGTTTTTAATACAGAACTTTGTGCCTCCTCTGCCACTTGAGGCATGCCTTCAGGTCTTTAGCGTTTAGAGGGTTGTTTTGTTTAGGCAACTGATATTTGAACTAAGGGTCTTTCACTTACTAGACAGGTACTGTACCATTTGAGCCATACCATTAGCCCAGTATTTTTTAGATTGAATCTTCTGGTCTTGCTTGGTTACCCTGGACTACAGCCCAACTATCTATGGCCTCCCACCATAACTTGGACCACACAGCCTTGTTTTCTGAAATGGGCATCTCACTAAATTTTTGCCAGGACTGGCCTTGAGCTGTGATGTTTCCATTCTCAGCTTCTGTATAGGTAGGATTACAAGTGTGAACTACTATGCCAGGCCTCAATTTTTTCATCTTTTTCTTCTTTTTTTGGGGGGGGTCCAATTGTGGGGCCTGAACTCTGGGCCTGGGCACCATCCCTCAGCTCTTCAGCTCAAGGCAAGCACTCTACCACGTGAGCCACAGCGCCACTTCCAGCTTTTTTCTTTTTTCTTTTTTGCTGAGGACTCAAACCCAGGGCCTCATGCATGCCAGGCAAGCGCTCTACCACTGAGCTACCTTCCCAGCCACCCTTTTTTTGTCGGTCCTGGGGCTTGAACTCTGGGCCTGAGCGCTGTCCCTCAGCTCTTCAGCTCAAGGCTAGCGCTCTACCACTTCAGCCACTGCGCCACTTCTTTTTCTTCTTCTTCTTCTTTTTTTTTTTTTGGTGTGTGTTGCTGGGGCTTCAACTCAGGGCATCAGGCTTGCTAATAAGCAGGTTCTCTACTAGTTGAGCCACAGTCTTTTACTCCTTTTCTATTTTAGTTGTTTTTTTTTCTTTTCTTTTTCAGGTAGTCTCTTTTGTCTAGGGCTGACCTCTTATCATAGTCTTCCTACCTATACCTCCTATGTAAGAGGATCACAGGCAAGTGTTCCCACTGCCCGCTTTATTTGTCGGGATGAGGTCTTGCTAACTTTTCTTATGGCTTGGCTTGAAGTCATAATCTCTTGGTCTCTTCCTCCTGGTTAGCTGGGATTACATTTAAGAGCTACTGTCTGGTCAAAACATAAAAGTTGCTTTTGTTGTTGTTGTTGTTGGTCATGGGACTTGAACTCTGGGTTTGGGCGCTATCCTTGTGCTCTTCAGCTCAAGGCGCGAGCGCTCTACCACTTGAGCCACAGCGCCACTTCCAGTTTTCTAGTGGTTTATTGGAGATAAGAGTCTCACGGACTTTCCTGCCCGGGCTGGCTTTGAACTGTGATCCTTAGATCTCAGCCTCCTGAGTAGCTAGGATTACAGGCGTGAGCCACCAGCGCCCAGCAAAACATAAAAGTTTTATCAACAAATTTAATTGAGATTTGGACTTTTAAAATGTCAGGAGAATTCACATTATTGACTATACTACTTATAAATAATTTTGTTTTTTTAGATAAACTAGATACTATTTTTGAGGCTTGGTGTGTTGGAAATTCCCAAGACCATTCCCAGATTCATTGATTAGTTAATAGGGATCACAGAACTCCAGATTTGTATAGTCTTATTTGTAGCTATGAACTTCTAGACCTAAGAGCTAAATAAGCTTCTTTTCTTTATGCAATACTCAGCCTCAGATATTTCATTATAGTAATGGAAATTAGACTAATAAAAGTCATACAGACACCCTCTGCTACATAAATAGTATTCTCAGGCTCTGAAAGGAAAGCAGGTATTCATCATAAACCACATTGTTTTTATAAATGGGAACAAACTCTTCATATAGAAAATGAAAAGCTCCTTAAATTCACATTCTAGATGCTAGCCAAGGGCCAGCTTTGTACATAGACCTCTGAAAGGATGGCAGTCTTTGGTCTGCCACATCAGCTCTTTTCCTTCTTCTCACTCAGGTTTCTCTATGACTTCCCTCTTAAACTTGTGTAAATTGAAGCAAGCAAATTTAAAGTTAGCGTACAATATCTCTTGTAACTGCCACATGAGTTACAATTTAGGAAAACATTTCTTATAAGAAAAATTGAAAAAAAAGACACTCATACTTCTCAAACAAGACAGCTAAAGCTTAAATTTTCATTTATTTTGACCTTATATATCAAACACCATTCAAGAAATTAATATTTTAGTGCCATTTAACCTTTTATTTCTGATTCTTATCACCTAAACTATAGGTGATAAGAAATGAAGCCAACAGGTACAGACCCAAGGATCTTATCTTTAGCTGCTGAAGTTGCAAAAAGTCCTGAACAGAATGTCCCTGTTATACTGTTGAAGTTAAAAGGTAATAAAATAATTTTGTGATTTGGGTAAGACTTTAATTTAAAAAATAGTTAACATTTTGGATACAATTTTAGCAGTTTTTATAATATGTTTAAGAAAAAAATCTTAACACTAATACAGCAGGGATTTTTTTCTATCTTGATACATTTTTCATTATTATTCTATGTATAAAAATGTAAGTAGCTTTTTCATGTGTTGAGCATAACTAAATATATCTTTTTTTTAGAAATAATAAACACACCTTTAGGAAGCTCAGAGTTGAAGAAAGTTAAACAAGACATATATTGTTATGACCTTGTTCAATATTGCCTCTTGGTTCTTAGTCAAGATTGTTCTCGAATCCAGGGTGGATGGACTACAATTTCCCAACTGACACAGATATTAAGGTAAAATGAAGCAATACTGCAGCTTGTTCTTCAGGATTTTTATATTTGGTTCTCCATTTCAACAATTGATTCATTTTTATTCATCCTCTTAATATGAGTTGTAAGTTTTATGATAAGTTTTGTTTATACTTTTATACTGTTTGTTACTGTTTTTAAACCAGAGGTGATAGTCTAAAATTTCATTCCATGCTTATCCTTTATTTTTCTCTCCACTGAATCCCAAGTGGGAAATACATTGTTTTTTGACTCAAACAATATTTGAAGAAATGAAAAAAAGTAAGGTACTAATTCTGTATTTCATAATCTTAGAATAGGTATTGGGTGGCAGTTATGTAAATGTATGACACAAGCTCTATGAAACAGGTGCCCGAATATAAGCAAAGTACTGTAGAAGAATAGATACAGATAAGAGAAACTGTTTTACTTAGTATTCACTTATTATGTCAACCCATATTAATAAAAGTCAGAAACATATTTGCTCCCATGTTTAATTTTTTTTCTCTTTTTAATTAGTGTGTATTTTTAATGAAATATAGATTTTTATTGTAAAGATACTGTACAGAGGGGTTACAGTTATATGAATAATACAATGAATACATTTCCTGTTGAGCATTGTTATCCCCTCCTTGGTTTTTCCCCTACCATCCCTTCTCTCTCCACCTCCCCAACTCCTTCCTCCCTCTCCCCCCGAAGTTGTAAAGTTTGTTTTCAACATAGTGTCTTGTACATCTCATTGCTATAGTGAGTCAACCTGTATCCTTATTTCAGCATTTTGTTATTTCCCTTCCCCTCCCCAAATTAGAAAATGTACCATGTTAAAAAAATTTTAAGGTGAAAATAGTTTTTAAGAGGAGGCAACAAAATAAATATTTTCAGTGCTGAGCCACTTCAAGCTAAAGTAACTAACTGTGCATTTATTAACTTTATTTCTATTTTAGATTTTTTAAATTTAATTTTATTGTCAAGGTCATGTACAGAGGAGTTAGTTACATACATAAGGTAATGAGTACATTTGTTGTCAAACTTGTTACCCCTCATTTTTCTCTCTCTTTCCCTACCCTTAATCCCCCCCCCCCCACACACACAAGTTGTCCAGTTCATTTCAAGCATATTGTCTTGTGAGTATCACTGTTGCATTGGTTCACCCTTGGTCTCACCAGTTTGTTGTTCCCCTTCCCTCCCCTAATTCAGATAAATATATATACAATAGGCAGGGTACCAAAATCAAATACAGTGACAACAGGAGAGAAACCATAGGGGGTAAAAACACAAAAGAAATCACATAATACATTAAAAACAACAACATGTTTTTGAGTTCATTTCACTTAACATCATCTTATATGGTCATATGAACATAGCTATTGAGCTATTCTGCTCATCTGCGAGGACTATCCTAGACATATACTAATTATTACAAATGAGGGAAAGTAGGACCTATGTTTCTTTTTTTTGGGGGGGGGTCCGGTCATGGGGCCTGAACTCTGGGCCTGGGTGCTGTCCCTCAGCTCTTCACCTCAAGGCTAGCGCTCTACCACTTGAGACACAGCGCCACTTCCGGCTTTTTGCTTTTTTTTCTTATGTGGTGCTGAGGAGTCGAACCCAGGGCCTTATGCATGCAAGGCAAGCGCTCTACCACTGAGCCACCTTCCCAGCCCCAGGACCTATGTTTCTTTAGGTCTGGCTTACGAATGGGGCAATGTCATTCTTTCTGATGGAAGCATAGAATTGCATTGTGTATATACACCACATTTTCTTGATCCATTCATCTACTGAGGGGCATCTAGGTTAATTCCATATCTTGGCTATGATAAAGCTGTAATAAACATAGTTGTGCTGGTAGCTTTAGAGTGGCCTTGTTTGTGGTCTATTAGACAAATGTCCAGAAGTGGGATTTCTGAGTCATAGTGGAGCTTTGTGTTTAGCTTTTGAGGAACCTCCACACTGCTTTCTAGTGTGAACAAATTTACACTTCCATCAACAGTGTAGTAACATTCCCTTTTGGCTATATCCCCACCAGCATCTGTTGTTATTAGATTTCTTGACAATGGCTATTCTAACTGGAGTGAGTGGAATCTCAATGTTATTTTGATTTGCATTTCTTTTATGGCCAGAGAAGTTGAACATTTCTTCATGTGTCTGTTGGTCATTTTTATTTCCTCTTCAGAGAAATCTCTAAGTTTTTAGCCCACTTATTAATGGGGTGGTTTCTTTGAGGATTTGTTTTGGGGGATTTTTTTTCGGTCATGGGGCCTGAACTTTGGGCCTGGGCACTGTCCCTCAGCTCTTCAGCTCAAGGCTAGCACAGCACCACTTCCAGCTTTTTCTGGTTATGTGGTGCTGAGGAATTGAACCCAAGGCCTCATGTATGCAAGGCAAGGTGGATGGACTACAATTTCCCAACTGAGCCACCTTCCCAGCCTGAGGGAGAATTTTTGAGTTCTAAGTATAGTATATTTTACATATGTTGTATGGCAGAGAAGATCTTATCCCAATCTGTAGGCTTTCTGTTTATCTTGCTAGCTATGTCCCTTGCCGTGCAGAAGCTCTGCAGTTTAATGCAATCCCATTTTTCCAACCTTTCTTTAATTTTTTGTGTTTCTAGGTCTTTATTAAGAAAATTTCGACCTGTGCCAAGGAGCCCTGGTTTTCCTCCTATTCCTTCCTGTAATGTTTTGCTTTTACCTTGAGGTCTTTGATTCATTTGGAATTGATTCTGGTGCAGGGTGATATAGAAGGATTTTTAACTTTAGTTTTCTATAGGTGTTTAACCAATTTTTCCAGCACCGTTTGTTGAAGAGGCTGTCTTTCTTCCATCCTGTTTTTTGGCTCCCTTATCCAAGATTTGGTGGCCACAGATCCAACACTTCTTTATGATGAAAGCTCTGGAGCAACAAGGAATCCATAGAACATTGCTCAATATAATAAATGCTGTGTATGGCAAACCTACAGCTAGCATTATACTTAATGGCAAAAAGCTAAAGCCATTTCCTCTAAATTCAGAAATGAGACAAGGATGTCTGCTTTCTCCACTCCTCTTCAATATAGTGTTAGAATGCCTAGCTAGAGCAATAAGACAAGATGCAAACATAAAGGGGATCCAAATAGGGAAAGATGGAGTAAAACTCTTCCTCTTTGCAGATAACATGATCCTGTATTTAAAGAACCCCATAGACTCCACTCTCAAGTTACTCAAGCTGATCCAAAATTTTGGCAAAATAGCAGGGTGTAAAATTACCGCCCCTGCCAAATCAGTGGCTTTTCTGTATGCCAATAATGAAAAGATCAAGGCTGAAATCAGGAAAGCAACTTCTTTTGTAATAGTCCCCCAAAATAAAATTAACCAAAGAGGTGAAAGACTCCTATGATGAAAAATTTAAAAACCTGAAAAAGAAAATTAAAGCAGAACCCAGGAAGTGGTAAAACCTCCCATGCTCCTGGATTGGGAAGATTAACCTCATGAAAATGGCAATACTACCAAAGGTTATCTACAAATTTAATGCAATACCCATCGGTATCCCAACATCATTCTTTAATAAAATAGAGGAAGCAATCCAAAAATTTATAAGGAATAATAAAAGACCCCAGATACCAAAAGCAATCCTAGCAGATAAACAGTGCTGGAGGAATATCAATATTAAACTTCAAACTCTATTACAAAGCTATAATAATAAAAACAGCTCGGTACTGGCACAAGAACAGACCTGAGGATGATTGGAATAGAACTGAAGACCCAGAAATGAACCTGCAGTTGACCTATAGCTTTCAACTAGCCTTTTGATTGTAATGAAGTTTCTCTACTACAGGGATCCTAACTTTTTAATCTGCTTACTCAGCTATATTTCTAGATAAAGGCCAAATTCAAATGCATAGTTATAAAGAACAGTCTGAAAAGTATATCAATATACTTTATACTTTAATTTTTAAGATTAATGGTTTTCTTACATAAAGAAGTCCTTTTTGTTCTAATTAGGTACGTTAATGACAATATTGATTGAGCATAATTCCATTTGTGGTATCAAAATAGTCTTTAATTTTAGGAATCAAAGCTAAAATAAAAATTAATATATGTGGGGCTGGGAAGGTGATTCAGTGGTAGAGTACTTGCCTTGCATGCATGAGGCACCACATAAGCAAAAAGAAAAAAAGCCAGAAGTGGCGCTGTGGCTCAAGTGGTAGAGCGCTAGCCTTGAGCTGAAGAGCTGAGTGACAGCTCCCAGGCCCAGAGTTCAGGCCCCACGACCGGACTCCCCCCCCAAAAAAAATTAATATATGTGAGCTTTAGCCAGGTAGACTTTTAGCATACCCAATAAATACCAGTTATCAGTTGTTCATCAGTGTCTGCACACTTTTTTTGTTTTTTGTTTTTGTTTTTTTTATTGTGAAAATACTGTACAGAGGGTTACAATTACATGGGCAAGATAATGAGTACATTTCTTATCAAGCATTGTAGCCTCCTCCTTTGTTTCCCCTTCCCATCCCTTACTCCCCCCACTCCTCCACCTAACCCTCCTCCCCCCTACCAAAGTTGTAAAGTTCGTTTTCGACATAACGACTTGTATATCTCATTGTTGCAATGCACACTTTTTTTAAAAAAAATCAAGTACTAGTAATTAGTTATCAGACTGCAATCTATTATTGGGTTGGAAGCTCTTTAGTATTAGTATTTTTGGTATTAGTATATTAGATGAATACTTTTTATTATTGAAACTTGTTTATTTAAATGATCTTTTCTTTATATTATAAGTACGCCTACTATGGTTAGGCTTTTGCTCTTTTCTTACTGAATATACAGGCAAATAATTTTCATATCTTTTTATTTTTTAATGTTCTTCAAGGTAGAAGCTTGGTTTAGGCTCAGGCCGGCCTGAACTGGGATTTTCCTACTTCTGATTGTCTGTGTCACTGAAGATGACAAATGCATGCACTGCACCCAGCTTTTGTGCTTTCCATGTGGCTCAGAAAACTGCCATACTTCATGGTGCTCAGCTGTTAGTTTGGCTGGAGTCTCTTGAACTTCTTTGTACACAGAATGACCTCAAACTATGATTACACATATACCTTCCAAAATATCTGGAATTACATGCTCGAACTACCTGTGCCCAGTAATTTGAATTTGCAGATGTCAAGAATATAGATCTATTGGACAGTAGAATTGATATATAGTTAGCGTTTTTGGTTCCATATCTTTTTCTAGAAGATCAATCTTACGTTAGGTATTTTTCAGTTACTAGGTGTCTAGCATGTGTCAGTTAACAGAAATGTAGTCAGTATATTTTATGACATTAGAGTGATTGTAGCTAGTTCATTGAAAACTTAATACATTTCTCCTTACTATGAGCCAAATCATTTCCTGAAGAGCTGACATGTTGGCTTTTAGAACTAAACTAGAACTAAATACAAAACCAGATCCACACCACAGTTTACTTTTCTAAAAATTGTTAGACTAATTTTCCAAGAAGCTTTTTAATTGGCTTGTCAATAAAACAATACTGAAGATTCTGAGTAAGGCTCAGTATCAATAGAATTTTGGACATTCATGTATGATTAACTTAAATTTGTGTTCTTCTTTCAGCCATTGCTGTGTGGGCTTAGAACCAGGAGAAGATGCAGAAGAATTCTACAAGGAATTACTTCCATCAGCTGCAGAAATTTTTCTAGTTTTGGGAAGACAGTTGCAAACATGTTTTATCAATGCAACTAAGGTCTGTACTTATTTAGGTATTATAGCCAAATCATTTTTTTTTTGAGACAGGGTCTTACTATGAATTTTAGGCTGGTCTTGAACTCACTTTGTTACCTATTGTTTCTTATGGAAATTCAGCTTTCTTTTTTTTTTTGTCGGTCGTGGGGCTTGAACTCTGGGCCTGGGCGCTGTCCCTCAGCTCTTCAGCTCAAGGCGAGCACTCTACCACTTGAGCTACAGCGCCACTTCCGGAAATTCAGCTTTCATCTTTATTGTCATTCCTCTCTGTATAATCCACTTAAAAAAAAAAAAAAACCTTTGGGGGCTGAGAAGGTAGCTCAATGGTAGAGTGCTTGCCTTGCATGCCTGAGGCCCTGGGTTCGATTCCTTAGTACCACATAAGCAGAAAAAGCTGGAAGTGGCACTGTGGCTCAAGTGGTAGAGCGCTCGCCTTGAGCTGAAGAGCTGAGGGACAGTGCCCAGGCCCAGAGTTCAGGCCTCACAACTGACTAAAAAACTAAAAAATCTTTGATTACCTAAAAATTATTTCATTTTCTTTGTTTTATCAGCAGTTTTTCTTGGATGAATCTTGGTGTACATTTCATTATATTTATATTGCATGTGGTATGCTGAGCTTCCTATATCTGAATTAATAAATATTTTCACTTTAAGAAAATTTGGAACTGGGCATCAGTAGCTTACACTTGTAATCTTCGCTATTCAAGTGGCTGAGATCTGAGGATCACAGTTCAAAGTCAGCCCAGGAAGGAAAGTTCCATGAGATTCTTATATCCATTTAACCATCAGAAAACTGGAAATGGCACTCTTTCTCAAAGTGATAGAGCACTAGCTTTAAGCAAAAATGCTCAGGTACAGCACGTAGGCAATGAGTTCAAGCCCCATGAGGGAAAAAAAAAAAAAAGAAAATTTGGAGCCACTATTTCTTCAAATAATTTTCCCTGTTATCTTTCTTTTCCATTTGGGACTCACAAGTTTTTGAGATTCTATTCATCTTGTTCTTGTTCTTATTTACTTCAGTTTGGGTAATTTCTATTAGTCTGTCTTCAGGTTCATTTGCACCTAATAATTCCATGGTAGTAGATATTGTTTCATATATGATTTGTTTGTCATATCCATCTTTTTTACAGACTCTACTGTATGTATTTCTCATTTGTTTGTGGTGAAAATTTTAAAATCCTTTCTTTGGATATACAGGCACACTGGCTGTGACATCTGTCACCCCAGTGATGACCAGGGCTGACTTGGTGTGCTCACTTCCTCCTTTACCACACCATGTGTGTCACTCCCAAAGCTATAAATATGGAGGACTGTTCTTCATTCAAGGATATACAAGTAGTTGCATTCTACTACTAAAACATCTAAACAAGTTCTTAAAATTCTTTCTTCCAGCTACATTATTATTATCTATAATAATCCTATTGTTACCATAGAACACCCAAAGTTATCTGTTGATCAAGTTTCTCCCATCTTTTTTATTCCCCTATTCTCTAGCCTCTGGTAATCACTATTCTGTCAGTTCCTATGAGATCAGATTTTTTAAGATTAGACACGTGAATAGGTCATTTAGTATTTGTCATTCTGGATTACTTAATTAACATGACCTTTTGGGATCATGTCTGTGTGCTTTTGTTTGTACTCTAGACTTTTAAGCAATTGCTTTTTATATTTTATAATTTTTAATATTTTTTCTATAAAGACACAAATGGTTCAAAATTGCCACCATGTTATATAATGTTCCATTCTAGGAGCTTTGATTTAAGTGAAGAATTTATACTGATTTGTGCTTAAAGAATTCCCAGACTAATACAGTAGGTTAAGATCCTAGTTACTTCTTATAGAAAAATCTAAGAGGGTTCTATTTTTAATTTACAACAATACTAAATAAAAAAAATTTTAAGAGTGGAACTAAGTGAAAACAATACAAAAGTAGGGAAACATGATGACTTGAGAATAAGCAATATCAGTGGCATAGAATTGTAACTCAGTTCTCTGACATTTCCACTAGCCTTTGAGAGGCACTAGCTCTAAATAAATACTTGCATATTTGTAAGATTTAATTTGGATCAGTTGAACCACATGAACTATGAGAAATTGTGTTGAACTTATTTCATTTTCTGGCTGTACTACCAACATTCAAGAGTGTTGAAATGATTTGAGGGTAGATTTTGTTAACGTTTGTCAGAAGCTCTGAATTTATGGGTGATATTTTTTGAAGTGCTTTATAAGGAAGTAGAAAGTCTCAAAATATAGTACTAGACCTTAAGATTAACAGTGATTAAGATTAAAATGCCATTTCTAAAGTGCCTTTGAATGAAAGTAACAAATGCGGTTTACCAGACTAAGAATTCTTTTTCTAATGTGACATTTTTTGTGTTTAGGTGTTTTTCAGGGGAGAATATTGATTATATTTAAGTTACTAGCACATACTGTTTTCATAAGTACCTGTCTAACTTTGGGAGAATAATAGGAAGAAAATACTTACATTATTGTAAAGAAAAATCAGATGATTCATGAATTTTTACTGTTACCATGCTGCAGTAGTAATACTTAGAAAATAGATCATTTTAATGGTCATCTATATATAAATTTCCAAAAGTTACATGGCAGCAAATGACAAAAAAAGTTGTCAGTGTACTCTGTGCTTACTTTCCCTTGGCAATACTAATTCCTCACCTTAATTTCTACAAGGAAAAAAATCATTTATTTATTGAATGAATATTGATTGAAAATTTGTTGTAGATACAGTTGTTATGGAGACACAGGTATTATGGTTTCTGCCTTCATAAAGTCATTGAGTAGAAATGAATTGAAAGCTCTATTAACAGGGCCTTACATACTGATTGACATCTGTGTTTGCATATTGCAACCTTGACTGCATAACTTCATGAAAATACAGATGTCTGGCATTTTCTTTTGTATATTTGCACTGATGCCTGTGTACAGGTATACTTAAAAAGCTACACAAGTAATTCTGAAGGACAGATAGTGGGAGAAATCCTAGAGTATTAACTTAAAGTTCTTATGTATTTTTCTTTGTTTTTATCTGGTTAACAAACAAATATATTAGGGAGAGAGTATTAATAAATATACTGCAATCATAATCTTCTAGAATTAGAAACTAAACACTGTAAGATCATGTACTATCTCATAAATAGCTGTTATATCAAGAACATGAGTCTTTGGCTTCTTTTTTTTAAAAACCTAGCAAATTACAAAAAAGTAAATTGAATTTCTTTTGTGTTAAGGGTGAAGAAAAAGGTGAACTACTGCATTTTTTCCAAATTGTGACTGATTCTCTCTTTTGGCTATTGGGAGGCCATGTTCAACTCATACAGAATGGTAAGACAAAAGGTTTTAATGTAACTGGAATGATTTTAAAGTTCACTGCTAACAGTTGGATTTTTTTCTAAAAATGAATGCCTTATAAATTATATAGATAATCACAGTAAAGTGAAGCTATGTTAAAATAAGTTCACAATTAAAAACTGACTTGGATATTCCATCTTTAATTTGCATTGACAATATGAACCTTATATGAACTATTACTAAAATAAAACTTTCTTCCTAGAGTTTTCTATTTAGTAAATCTGAGATAAGTATTCATAATTTGAACAGGTTAGGAAAAATAATTTGTTTCAAAGATTATAACTTGTGTTTCAGATCTATTGTGAAAGTAGTCACTGTATACAAAGTAAATATTATACTTGTAGCCTAACCTTCTGTAATGATGTATACTGAACTTTAGGATTATTTTTATAAGATATCTCTTTTCAACTTGATAAATATATGTTTTTTCAGACTAATAAAGTGATCTTATTCATAATTATGACACAATTCCTACCTACTTAAAAATTTTATCTCACATAAATTCAACACTATAATTTCTTCAGGTAATAATACCTGAGCTGAAAATTTAATTCTGTATTTTTCCTTTAGAACAAATGCATGTACTTAAAGAGTAAAATATAACTATTATTAAGAAAAATATAATCCTTGTCCCTCAAGCCCATTCATTCCATTTCTCATTTTCCAAAGGCAACTATTTTTAATTAGTGTAAGTAATTCTTTGGGAAGTTATATCCATATTGCTGAGTGACATGCCAAAAACTTTATCTTTAAAACATTATTAATTTCTCATTTTATAACATACTGTTATAAATTCCTAATTTAAAGAAGTATTTAACCAAAAATGTAAAGTAGTAAAGACTGTGGATTCCAAATATCCCATTTTGATAAGAACTAAAACAAATATAATAATAGTTAATTTGTAGGTTTAAAGCATACATAAAGTAAATACTAAACCTCAATTAAATGCTTATAAAATTGATCAGCAAAAAATAAAAGAGCACATTGAAAACAGGATTCCAACAACTTTTTTCTTCTAAAGGGAATCACCTCCTTGAGTAAATGGCTTACTATAGGCCTGGGATAGAAAGTATACAAGTGTGCTAGTCACTGGTGGACTCATACTTGCAATACTAGCTTCCCAAAAGGCTGAGATCTGAAGATCCTGGCTTGAAGCCAGCCGAGGCAGACAAATCTTTATCTCCAGTAAGCCAGCAAAAAGACAGAAGTGGAGGTGTGGCTCATGTGGTAGAGTCCTAGTCTTGAGTGAAAAGCCAAGCAAGAGTGCGGTTCAAGCCGTGGTACTGGCAACCAAAAAGAAAAAGTATACAAATGAACCAGAAGTGTCTTAAATGGCAGATTTAAAGGAAGCAAATTGCTATAATTCTGGAAAAGTACTCAGGAGCCAACATAAGGGGGCTTCTACTAGTCAAAATTAAGAAATTTGGACAGTAATAAGGTTAATTTGGACAGTAATAATTGCAATGGACTAAAACATACCAAGTATCAACACTGGAGTCAGGAAAATTATTCATTTTGTTAACTTTAAATGAAGAAGCCAGTGTTTATCCTGCATTTACCTGAATACAGAAGAAAAGTTTTTCTATGTAAAAATCTTCAAACTAATAAAGGGCAGAGCTCTTTACCTCTTGTCAATTAACTGGTTTAAGAATTGGCCAGTCATGGGCTGGCTCAGTCCTATAATCCTAGCTATTCAGTGGGCTGAGATCTGAGGATCGCAGTTTAAAACTCAGGACAAATACAATTTCTTCAACAGAAAAATTGCAAGGGAAAGAAAACAGAAAAATAACTGAAATTGGAAAGAAATTTGAAAGGGAGTTATATTGTGTGGATCATATTTAAATCTTTATTGAAACTTAAAATTTCACAAAACAACTATAAGTTGGAACGCTTGGCTTGCTATGTGATGAAATTAAGAGATGGTTTTTGCTATGTGAAATAATGGTTATATTCTATTGTTTAGCAATTTATAAATATGGCAATATATATTGATATATTTATGGGATAAATTTGATGTCTTAGATTTGGTCCATAAAATGGAAATACATGGGGATATAAACAAAATATATTTTGTCCATAAGTTGATCATTGTTAAGACTGAGCAACTGATTCATCATACTGTTCTGTTTTTATTATTAAAAATATTTAAAGAAGGAAATAAGTGGGCATAGAGTTTTTGTTTGGAGTAGTGTAGGAGTAAGGTAGGATTTACTATTTATAGGACTTACTTGAAAAACAGAATAGAGACTGTAAACATAAGTTCTATAATTATCAAGGCAAACAGTATAAAAATAAAACAATGACATACAATAAATTAATTTTACATAAATTCTTCCGAGAGAGGAAAAAAACTTAGGTACATACCACAGGTTAATTCCAGAGTTATTAATAAACATTTTTAAGTAGACAAAAGTGGAAAATGACCCAGATGCCAGTGGCTCATGCTTGGAATTCTAGATACTTAGGAATCAAGATCTGAGGACTGTAGTTCAAAGTCAGCCCAGCCAGGCAAATCTGTGAGACTCTTACTTCCAATTAACCAGGAAAAAGATGGAAGTGGTGGTATGGCCCAAGTGGTAGAGTGCCAGCCTTGAGCTAAAAATCTCACCCAGCAAGAGCATAAGAACCTGAGTTTGAACCCCCATACCAACACCAAATAAAAAAGTAATAGAGGAAAAAAAATGTATTTATTCTAGTTATAGAAACTTTAAAAAGTATTAAAATAATACCATACAAGCCAACAAAATAGATTTTTTCTAATTTGTAAAAACATTTGAAAAAAGAGGTGTTGTGAAATATGGACTATGTAAATAGAAATAAAGAACAGGAGTTGCTATGGGAAAGATGTTCTAACAGAAGATAGAATGGGGAAAAGAGTAGTTGTTTTATAGAAGCTTGGGTAGAGTGTATAGAACCATCTTGCCAGCATATCTGATATTACTTACTTTAATCTTGTGCTTAATGACTTACTTACTTAAATCTAGAACATTATGCCTGTGTGAAAGGTATTAATTTTTGGTTTTACAGATGACAAAATGGAGGTTCTTAGATGTTACTAGATTATTAGATATTATTGAAGCATCTAAAAGCAAGTTTTGTAACTGGCTACTTGAGGCCAGAGAACTATAAACCAATAAACAATGTTTTTATCATTAGTACAATATTTCTTAAGCAAAATTTTTTTCTAGAAAACAGAATTGGATTTGGGACATGGTACTTTCAGCTTAAAGAAAAATAATAATAAATTCATAGTTTAGTATTTATAGATAATCCCTTGACTACACCTGTTCATAAAAATGGATTAACTATTTTATATGGCTACTTAAAGCTACCTACTTCTTAAATTCTTTATTTTAGAAAGTAGCCAGGAGGTTTAGCAGAAATGATCATTTTTTAAAATTTGGTTTTAAAAGAATAGAATCTACTCTATGGTGGCTTACACCTGAAAGTCTTAATGACTCAAGAAGCTGAAATTTGGAGAATCTTGGTTCAAAGACATGAAAGTACATGAGATTTTTGTCTCCAAAATAACTAGCAAAAAGCAGGGATAGAGTCATGACTCAGGTGGTAGAGCTCTGGCCAAGCAAGCAAACTGAGAAGTTCAAGGCCTTGACTTCAAATCCCAGAACTGCCAAAGAAAGGTAAAATCTCACCTTTGTTATTATAGAATGTTTACTTTAATTTTCTTTTTTAATTCTTCTTTTAGTGCTGCAAAGTGATCATTTCTTACACTTAATGCAAACTGACAATATTCAAATAGGATCTACAGTCATGAGTCTACTACAGAATATACTACAGATTAACAGGTGACTTAGTTTTAGAAAATGGTACTGCTTTTTTATTCTGATAAAAAATTTACCAATTTTTTTTCCAGTTCAAATAATTTGCAAGTGACTTGTCCATGATACTTACTGTTATGCTTGTTTCAGAAAAAGTTAATATAAAATACTGTAAAAGATGGGAGATTTATTATCAAATTGGTATGCAGAAAGAAGACTGTAGACTAAATCTTGAGCCAAGAAAAGAGAAATTAGTATAAAATCTTTAAAAAAAATAGTGAATGAGGTTCCTAGCTACTCAGGAGGCTGAGATCTGAGAATCACAGTTCAAAAGCCAGCCTGAGCAGGAAAGTCCATGTGACTTAGTATCTCCAATGAAACATCAAAAACAAAAAAGCCAGAAGCTTTTGGCTATGGCTCAAGTGGTAGAGCACCAGCCTTGAACAAAAAAGCTCAGGGATAGCACCTAGTACTGGTATGCACACACACAAAAATACCCCATACACACACACACACACACACACACACACACACACACACACACACACACACAGATGACAGTAAAAAGCAAAATAGCTGACTCACATATTTATTTAGCAAACATGTTCAGCATTGTGATAAATGCTAGGAATATAAAAGAGGTAATATCTTATCCTTTAGGTTATAAAATAAAGGCAGAATATATTGAATAATTCATTCTTTTACTTTTGTATGGATTTATTAACTAACACTACTATGTGTACAACAAGAACTACATCATCTTATCTACAAGTTGATTCAAATGTAAATCTGATCTTCAAAGAACTAAAAGTAGAGGGAAAGAAACATATAAGCATATTATGGTGTTGGGTTGCAGTGTTAAGTGTGCTCAGGTGCTTCAAAGCCAAACTGAAGGAGGATGTTTCCTAGAGAAAGTAATATCTAAGATGAAACTTTAAGGATGAGAAATTGACCAGGAAAGGAGGAGAAATCAGCAAGTCAGAGATAACAAAGACAAAAGCAGAGAGATTAAATACTTGATGTTGAGAGTGAAAACTAGACACAATTCATTGTTGCTGAGATTTAAATTTTAGTATCACAGGTAGCTAGGAAGTTCTGCAGAGAAATAATGAAAAAGTGGTCTGTATGTAAGAATAGGTAATATTGATCAAGATGCATTTTTTTTCTTGAACTGACATGGAATTGAAACCCCTCATACAACTACTGAAGGATAATAAAAAAATTAAAAACAATTAAGTTATAAAAAGAAAATTTTATATTATGGTAGACAGTGGTGATCACAGATTTTTTAAGCAGGTGAAAATAGACTGTGTTTCTATTTTTATTATTCTAGTAACTATGGAGCAAAGAAGGCATTTGTACTGCATAAAGAAAGCAATCAGAGGTTTGACAATTACTTCAATGTTACAGCACCTGTCTAGCATGCCTGACATGGATCCCTAGTATAGGATACAACTTCTTTCTTTTTTCTTTCCTTTCTTTTCTTCCCTGTTTTCCTTTCCTCCTTTTCCTTTCCTTTCCTCTCCTTTCCTCCTTCCCTTCTTCTTTTCTTCCCTCCCTCCTTCCCTTCCATTCCCCTTTCCTTCCTTCCTCCCTCCCTCCCTCCCTCCCTCCCTCCCTCCCTCCCTTCCTTCCTTCCTTCCTTTCTTCCTTCCTTCCTTCCTTCCTTGTCTTTCCTTTTGTCTTTTTTTAATGCAATTAAAGCAACCATGGCAATGCAAGGCCATCCAGATCAATCATCAAAGCATGGCCTAAAAGGGTCAAAATGTGTAGAATTTCTTAACTGTGTAGAGTTTCTACAGATACTTAACAATTTTAAGTATTTTTTTCATTGTACAATATATAAATACAGGAAATTCAGCAAAAAGGATTATGCTTTGATTTGGCTCTAAAAGGATGAGAAAAGCTCATTTGTGCCACATAAAATATTTCATCACTTTTCTAATATTGCAAAGTGACCATTTCTTACAGCTGCTGCAAACTGATGCTATACCGGTAGAATAAAGCATACTATAGTTCAATGGGTGATTTGATTTTTCACAAAAAGTATCAATTTTTTAAAAAATCTTTGATCAGCTTAAATGAGTTAGAATTCACATTATTTTACATGCAAACAAGTACAAATCATGCAAATGAGCAAGAATAGGTATTCATAAATGAGATTATTAGGATAGTTATTATAAATGTTTTATAGAATTACAAAATTTAATAGCAATCTATATGACAAAAGACCCAAACTAAACTCTGTAGGTGAAAACTATTACTATACTGGATGGTATTAGCAACAAATTAACATTACAGATTAGTGAACTTTATGACAAATCAATAGCAACTATATAAAATGAAAAGAAAAAATAAGAGGGAAACAAAGCCTATCAATGTGCTATGGGATTATACTAAGCAGTATTGCATACGTATAATCAAGACTATGTAAAAGAAGTAGTAGGGTCAGAAAAACATACTTAAGAAATAATGACTAAAATTTTTCCACAATTGATGAAAACTGTATATGTTCAAAAGGCTCATTCAAAAGGCTCATCCTAACCTCCAAAACAATAAATATGAAGGTACATCATAACCAAAGTGGTAAAACTAGTGATGTAAAAACAATAAAAATGAATAATTTAAAATGCATAATCCCAACCAGGGGCTGGTGGCTCATGCCTGTAATCCTAGCTACTCAGGAGGCTGAGATCTGAGGATCATGGTTCAAAACCAGTCCAGGCAGAAAAGTCCCCGTGAGACTCTGATTTCCAATTAACCACTCAAAAACTGGAAGTGGAGCTGTGGCTCACAAAGAGGCTCAGGGACAGCACTCAAGCCCTGAGTTCAAGCCCTACGACCAACCAAAAAAAAAAAAGCACAATCTAAAAGAAGGCAGTAAAAAAAGAGAATGAACAAAGGGCAAAGAATTAAAGAATGTATAAATAAATGAAAAGATACACCATATTGCCTGACCTTAAATCACAATCCCAAACACAAAAATCAAGGCTTTGAAATAGTCTAACTGATACTGAAAACAAAGAATTATGAGAACTGTACCTGATTTTAAAACTTCTTTATAAAAGTATAGTAATTAAAATAACATAATGTTGGCTGGCAAGGTGGCTCAGTGGTAGAGCGCTTGCCTTGCATGCATGAGGCCCTGGGTTCAATTCCTCAGCACCACATAAGCAAAAAGAAAAAAGCCGGAAGTGGCGCTGTGGCTCAAGTGGTAGAGCGCTAGCCTTGAGCTGAAGAGCTTGAGGGACAGCGCCCAGGCCCAGAGTTCAGGCCCCACGACCAGACCCAAAAACAAAACAAAATAACATAATGTTGGTACAAAGAATCCAGTAAGATAGAAAAGAGTCAGAAATAATTTCACACATATATGGAAAATAGATTTTTAATAAAAGTGTGAAGGTGATTCAGTGAGGATGGGGACAGACTTTTAAAATGCTAAAAAAAAAAAAAAAAAGCTGGGTGTTGATGGTTCATACTTATAAGCCTAGCTATTCAGTAGGCTGAGATCTGAGGATACAGTTCAAAGCCAGAGTGAGCAAGAAAGTCCTTGAGATTCTTATCTCCAAATGACAGCAAAATGCTGGATGTAGTGCTGTGGCTCAAGATTAGAGCATTATCCTTGAGCAAAAAAGCTCAGAGACAGCACCTAGGCCCAGAGTTCGAGCCCCCCTCATTGTACCAAAAAAAAAAAAAAGATGATGGGAAAAATTGGCTATCAATAATCAATATACAAAGACCTACATATAAAACCTAAACTATAAGTGGGGTATGAAGATACTGTATCTGTAACACTAATATTCAGGATGATGAGACAAGAAAATAATGAGTTCAAGGCCAGCCTATATTATCTATATAGTGAGTTCTAGAGCATCATAGACTAAAGAGTCAGATATCTTGTCTCCCCTGCCCCTCCTAAAAGCAACCCAACAATATAAAACCTATAATACAAAGCTTGTAGAAATTAGAAGCAAAAATTCCTTAAACCCTTAGGTATATCACCCAAAATTAAATTCACAAAATAATAGCAAGTACAGGATCCTAAATTCAAACATTAATGCTGTCAAATAAGACCTACAAAATAAAAAATGATTAGATTTAAGCTAGACTTCACAGCTGGGTGCCTGGCCATAGCTGTGATCATAACTACTCAAGGCTGAGATCCATAGGGTCAAGTTTCAAACCAGCCAAGGCAGGAAAGTCCTAAAAACCTCATCTTCAAAATAATCAGCAAACCATGAACTGGATGTGAGGTTCATTTGGTAGAATATCAGTTAACAAGCTGAGCAAGCATAAGCCTCTGACTTTAAACTCTAGTATGAGAAAGAAAGATCATTAAAATTCTTAAAGTATGTTCTTCACTTATTAAATACTTTAGGATATATAAAGAACTCTCAAAATTTAATAACAAATGATTTGGAAATGGGGAAAACATACCTTTCATTAAAGAAGATATATGAATTACAAGCACATGAAAAGATGTTTGTTTAGCAACATTAATCACTAAGAAAACACCACTACACACTAACCCATAACATAGCTAAAATATAACCACTAACCCAAGTGTTGCAAAACATGCAAAAGAAGTTGATCTGTTACTCATTGCTTATGGAATGTAAAGTAGTATAATCAGTGGAAAATAGTTTGGCCGTTTATTAGCAAGCTAGAAATTTACCTGTCGTATTATCTAGCCTTTCTATAGAGATGAGCTAAATGAGAAATATAAATAGATTGACAAAATAAGTAGGTTGAAAATTGAATACTGGGAAACAAACTTTTAGGTACATTTGGGGGATGGGAGCCAATGAAGGAATCTGAGAAAGAATAATAAAAAATGTAGGGGTAAAGGGATGTGAAGGGTAAACAAAGGAGGAGGCTGCAATGCTTGGTAAGAAATGTACGCATTATCCTGCCCATGCAGTTGTAACCCCTCTGTACAGTATGTTCACAAATAAAATAAAATTAAGTTAAAAAATAAAAAAAAAGAATGAGAAATGAAAAGAACAAAGTATCACAGAAGTTAGGTGGGTAGAATATTAGGTACAAATAGTTCTAGGCAAATAAGTATTTAGTGGGGTATATACATGCATGTGTGTAATTTGATATTTGGGAAAATGTATTGATGAAGTACACTTTTTAAGTGTACTTTGACAGTGAAGTATGGAGGAAGAATGCCAGATGTAGTCATATGAGAAATGAGTGGGAGGTGAGAAAGTAGAGACAGGGAGGTTTGGATTAGAAGAGAAGCAGAAAATAGTAGTGATTAGGAAGTTAGGGTGTTTAAAAGCATTTCAACTAATGTATTGCCATATAGCATAAACTCTGTATGGAATATAGAGTTAAGAAGTAATCAGATTGGAATAGCTTTATCTATGTAGGTGTGTGTGTGTGTGTGTGTGTGTGTGTGTGTGTGTGTGTGTGTGTGAATTGTGGGGCTTGAACTCAGGGTCTGGGCTTTTTCAATCAAGGTTAACACTCTATGACTTTGAGCCACAACACCATTTCCAGGTGATTAATTGGAGATAAGAGTTTTATGGACTGGTTGGCTCTGAGCCACAATCATCAGATTTCAGCCTCCTGAGGAGCTAGGATTACAGGTGTGAGCCACCAGTAAGCAGACTATGGGGGCTTTTTGTCTTTTCTTTTTTTGGTACTGGGGATTGAACCCAGGACGTTGCACTTGCTAGGCAAGCGCTTTGCCACTGAGCTACATCCCAGCCCAGATAATGAGTACATTTCTGTTTGGTTTTTTTTTTTAACTGTATTTTTTTGTCTTTTCTTTTTTTGGTACTGGGGATTGAACCCAGGACGTATGGGGGCTTTTTGAAATGAGCTTATTTTGACCTGGTATTTGAATGGTGTAATGATAAAGTACGGAAGAAAAAAGGTGAGTATCCCTGGCAAAGGGAATAGATAAGAGCCAAGAAGGGCAGAAACAGATGTTACCAAGATTCCTGTGTCTTTTGATTGAATAACCTTTAAAGTTTCTTAACACTGGTATTTTTCTATGTAGACTAGGGTACAGTCTCTTTTTTCCTTAGAAATATGTTGGCCTCTGCTAAAGTATAATTTTCAGAAAGCTAAAACCATGATTAATAGTAATATAAAATTTAACTGACTGAAAATTTTATTCAACTAATTAGTGTGTAAATTTGTAAGATGTTTGTATAAAATCAAAGAATTGAGAGAGACTTATGGAGTTGATTTGTCAAAGGAATGTAGAATATATTGTAAAGAATTTACATTAGTAATTTTTTTCTATCAAGAAATTAAAAGACCACTGTCTTATAAAGTCATAGATAGTAGCTATTAGAATTACCTTTTCTGTTCAACCAAATCATTTATAAGAATGAGACAATTTGCGTTACTCTCAAGCAAGAATGATTGGCAGGACTGGGAAGGTGGCTCAGTGGTAGAGCGCTTGCCTTGCATGCATGAGGCCCTGGGTTCCATTCCTCAGCACCACATAAGCAGGGAAAAAAAAGCCAGAAGTGGCGCTGTGGCTCAAGTGGTAGAGCGCTAGCCTTGAGCTGAAGAGCTGAGGGACAGCACCCAGGCCTAGAGTTCAAGCTCCACGACTGGACTCCCCCCCCAAAAAAAAGAGAAAAGAATGATTGGCAATATGCTCTTTCTACTGTGAAACTTAAAATATCTTACTAGTAATAGTCAAGCACAGATATACACCACTATCACATATTCATTAGGTGAGTTAGTAGTCATTCAGTTACTCCTTTTAAGTTTTTCTAAGATTTATATAATTTGTCATGACATGAAAAATACAACATCAAGTTGTTAATTTAAAAAATGCTAGGGAAGGATAAATTTGGTCTCTGTATTTCATTTAGCAATTTGCCCTGCATTGTGGCTTTGTTCTTATTGTTGCTTTAAAGCTTTTAATCACACTGACATTTGATGTATTACATATTTTCTTTACTACTGAATTTGATAGCAAGTTTCTTTGAGGAGAGAACTTGGCTGCATTGCATTTTCTGGTGACCCTTTCATGGCACAATAAGAATTGACTTAATGTGTGGGGATTTGTTATTATTGTTGTTAGTTTTGTTTTTGTTGTTGTTGTTTTATTTTTCAGAGCTGCGGACCAAACTCAGGGCCTTGCACTTGCTAGGCAAATGCTCTTCTACTGAGCTAAATCTTCAACCCCTTAATGTGTGTTTTTAAAAAGTGGTTTTCCTCTTCAATTAGGCTACACATAGACATCAAATTACTGAATCTTTTGTCAGTTTATTATGATAACTATGCACACATTGATTGCACTTTTTAAATTTTCTTCTACAGTGGTGACTTACTCAAAATAGGAGAAAAAACATTGCATTCCATTTTAGATGAGCTTATTTTCAAGCTTTTATCAACTCCCAGTCCAGTCATAAGAAGTTCTGCTACAAAACTCCTACTGTTGATGGCTGAATCCCATCAGGAAATTTTGATTTTACTGCGATTAAGTTCTTGCCACAAAGGTAGGACATAACTTTTCTTGGGATTCTCAAAAAGAAAATATTTGATGGTTTATAAAACAGACCATTGAACCTTTTAATCCTAAACCAGTCATTAAAGGTCTGTTTAAAGTTAAAAAAATACAAATTCTTGTATTTTGAAAAATTAGTAACAGAACTGAGCCAGTAAAAACCCTACTACAAAGTTACTGTTCCTAATAAAGTCTTAGTATAAGCAAGACATTTTCACATTTCAAAAGATAGCACATATATTTTGTTGATAGAATTGTGATAAATACTTGCTCCCCATCTGACAAGAATCTATATGTTAGATATGCCATAGTGTGGTAAAATGATGACCAAAGTGTTCAGTGGCCTTATGAAGACTAGCTTTAGTTGAAAAGAAAATAGAACAGCTTGAGAGGTTGATAACACTTTTGATTTTTATATTTTAATAAGTTACTCTTTAATTCCTTCACTGATAAAAAAAACAAATCTCCTTGCCTTCAAAGTCACACACATATGGAGAAAAAGTTTGAAATTTTCATTTTGTATAATAGCTTTTATATAAGAGAACATTTACTAATACAATACACTATTCTGTATACTTCAGAAGTATACAGAATATATACTTCCTGTATCTATAAATGAAGAGGATACTCTATAAATGAAGAGTATCTTCAAATGAAGAGTATCCTGTATCTATAAATGAAGAGTATCTATAAATGAAGAGGATACTCTTCATTTGAAGATACTCTTCATTTATAGATACAGGAATTAGAGACATGTAAAAATAGATCACTTGCTAAAATCAGTATATTTTATACAACTATCAAAGTTATGCTAATTTTATCCTGCCAGCCAAAGCCATATATTAATATATTTATATTCATTGTAGTCAACAAATAAGTTTCTATCTCAGTAAATATATTTAATATAAGATTAATTATATATGATGCATGCATTTAATACCTAAATATTAGAATAGTCTTTAGTCATACTTGATGATTAGGAGGCATTTTAGTAACTTACACAATTATTTGTGGACATTTTAATTTTATGTATTAGAAGTAGAGAGAGAAAATAATTGTACTCTAGTTGTGCCAGATAAATATTTTCAGCCCTGCAGTTTTACCTTAATCCTTTACCCTTTCTTTGGTATTTTTTTTATTTTTTTTGTCGGTCGTGGGGCTTGAACTCTGGGATTGGGCGCTGTCCCTGTGCTTTTGAGCTCAAGGTGAGTGCTCTACCGCTTGAGCCACAGCGCCACTTCTGGTTTTCTAGTGGTTTTTATTGGAGATAAGAATCTCACGGACTTTCCTGCCCGGGCTGGCTTTGAACCTCGATCCTCAGATCTCAGCCTCCTGAATAGCTAGGATTATAGGCGTGAGCCACTGGCACCCGGCTTGATTGGTATTTTAATATTAGAACATATCCAGGGTCTTTAATATATTTTAGTTAACTGCTTTTTTATTAAAGATGTTGTTTAGACATCTCTTTGTATCAGATTTCACAAGTGAGCATGTATGAATTTTAAGAATAGAGAATTTAATCTTTCAGTCTTTAAGAAAATGGAAATATCATGTGATACCAAGTTTTTTGTGCAGAAGATCCTTCATTCAAGGCCAATCTAGTGTAGGTAGTGGAACCCTGTCTCAAAGAAAAGAAAACATAAAATGGAAAAAAAACCAGAAAACCATATGATTAAGGTTATTGTATTCATTTTCAAATGAATTTTCAATTTCGAGCCAGACTTTTTTAACTTCAAAATTGCTGATTGGCTAAAAAAAATCATATTCTGTTGGTAATTGTTGTACATTTTGTTACTGTATTTCAGAACTCAGAAATCTATTAAATAAACAGGAAAGTGGGACAGAATTTAGTCAAGAACTTAGAGAGCTCGTTGGTCTTTTAAGTCCTAAAGTCTATCAGGAAACAGAAGAGCAGGTATTAAATTTAAAAAATAATTTGGTTGTGTTTCTTGACTGTCTTGAATCCTAAATATGCTTCTTTGTTTCTCTCAAAACCTTTAGCAAAATGTTTTGCAAGCTGGGTGCTGGTGGCTCATGCCTGTAATCCTAGCTACTCAGGAGGCTGAGATCTGAGGATCATAGTTCAGAGCCAGCCTGGGCAAGAAAGTCCATGAACCTCGTATCTCCAATTAACCATCAGAAAACCAGAAATGGTGCTGTGGCTCAAAGTGGTAGAGCACTGGCTCTACCACTCTTCAGCTCAAGGACAGAACCCAGTCCCAGAGTTCAAGCCCCATGACGGACAAAAAAAAAAAAAGAAAGAAAAGACAAAAGAAAAACTGTTTTCCAAGAAAATAAAAATACCTTTAGATTTTTCTCTTTTCCATTCAATCTATCCATGAACATAATTTCAGTTTCCCTTTTGTACCTGTTTATAGATACCACATGAATTTTTTTCACCCTCCCAAGAAATCTTCTAATATTTGTCTTCTTTTAGTTATATTAAACTTTTGTCTTAGGTGTGTGTGTGTGTGTGTGCGTGCCTGCGTGCGTGTGTGCATGCATGTGCACGCACACATGCTTGCATGTGTGTATGGCCAATACTGGGATTTGAACTCAGGGCCTTGTGCTCTTGCTTTGCTTTTTTGTTCAAGGCTAGTTTAGTACAGCGTGAGCCATGCCTGCACTCAAGGCTTTTTTTCTGGTTAATTGGAGATAAAGTCTCACAGTTTTGTCTGCCTGATCTGGTATTGAACCAGATCCTCAGATCTCAGCCTCCTGATTAGCTAGGATTCTAGGCATGAGCTTCTGGTGCTTTTTATATAGTTTTCTATCAAAAACAAAACCAAAAAAAAACCCTCTAGTCATAGCAAACTTTATTTATGGCCAACTATGGCTAGCTTTCTTGATGTATATAACTATAATGCATTTCACCTCTATAGAAGAAACTGTTACAGTGGTTCACAGCTCATTCCAATAGAATGATTCTGATTTCCAGGTGAGGAGTTAAAATAAGTATGGAAAGCAGATCTAAAATACAAGATGTTTTTATGTAAAAGGAAATGAATATATATCTAAAAACCCTAAGTCCAAAAAAGGTAATGAAAGCTTGGTACTGGTGGCATAAACTTATAATCCTAGCAACTCAAGTTTTAGGCCAGCTGGGGCAGATAAATCCAAGAGACTCATATCTCCAATTAACTGGGAAAAAAAGCAAGAAGTGGAAGGGTAGTTCAAGTGTTTGAGTGCCAGCTAGAGCCAAGTTAAGAGTATAAGGCTATGAGTTCAACACAAAAAAAAAAAGAAAGAAAGAAAAAAGAAAAGGACAGAAAAGAAAAAAAGGTTAAAAGGTTAGTCTCAAAGATGAAAAGAAGTCCATTTAGACAGGAGGATCTTTCACAAGTCTTGGACTATACACAATATACTAGAATCTTACAGGCAGTTTTGAACAGTGATCCACAAAAGGTCAATAATACATAACAAGTTTATAGTAAGTTAACTCAAAACTGATTATGAAACTAGGCAGTAGTGTTAAGTCTTTGAGAAGGAAGTGAGATTTCACAGAGAGAATTTAGAACTAACTAGACTATATGTTCTAGATATTTCCTGACACCCTTACTTCCCTCCTTTGGGAGATGAGGTGTAGAATTCTTAGACTTTTCCCATCTTTCGGCCTATAAATTTAATGTTGTCTCCTACATATCATGTTAAATATGGGAAATAAGATCAAAATGACTCAAGCCTGTAATTCTACCTACTCCATGGAGGCAGAGATTAGGGGATCTTGGTTTATTAACAGCCTAAGCCTAAAGAGATTCCCATCTTGACTAATGACTCTGCAGTGGTGTGTCTCATTCCCTATTGATAAGAGGAAGCAAATATAGAAGGATTGCAGCACAGGCCAGGCAGGCATAAAGCAAGATCTACCTTGAAAATAACAGCACAAAAAGGGCTAGATTGAGCTCAAATGGTAGAATACCAGCCTAGCAAGGGTGAAACCATGCATTTAATCTTCAGTACTGCCAATAGAGAAGAAAGAGAGAGGCAGAGACAGAGACACGGAGACAGAAAGACAGAGAGAGACAGACTGTTTGCGTTGCCCTGATATTTTCTAGAGATGTCTCTAAATTATTTCTGACATGTAATTTCAGAAGTTACATCAAGCAGCTTGTTTGATTCAAGCTTATTGGAAAGGTTTCCAGACTAGAAAGAGATTAAAGAAGCTTCCATCTGCTGTGGTTGCTTTGCAGAGGAGTTTCAGGTAAAATTTTTAAAAAATTAAAAATTTGTGATAGAAATGATTATCTGAGAGTCTTAGAGTATAGGTAAGTGAAAACCTAACTTTTTCTTTTCATTTTCCTAATACTTTACCTCTATTTCTGTTTTAATTATGCTTAATATGCTAATGAGTGCCAACAAGCCAGTAACCAGATGTACTTTCAAAGAAAAAGACATGTTAGAAGACAGGATTATGAATTGTTCAAATACACAGTCATAGTCACTTCAAATTTGTTTGTGGGAGCCAATTCATATTATTAAACTCCCAAAATCATTAGTTTTCAGAAGTGTTCTTATATATAATTATGACAGAAGCACCTATGAATATATGGAAATTAAATGTGTTGATCCAATTTTCCTGAATATGGCATAATGGATATGGCCCTTGAGATAAAACACAATTTGTCATTTATCTCTGTTTCAAGTAGAATGTAATACTTAACATATCACTCACTTTAGGAAATGACTAACACGTCCATATTTTTAGAAGTTACACACAACAATAATACTTAGCATTTATGATTTCTCATAGAGCCAAGTTTTAGTTCTCTAAAATGAAACAGGATAGTAGAGAAGTAACTTGTTCAAGAAAACTGAAACCATGCTTTTAATAACTACTGTCGTATTTCTCAGGTTAAAGCATTTAAAAATAGCTATGGGGTTTAAAATAACATTTCTGAAAGATAAATGTCCTGGAAATAATCTTTTAATGATTACCATGTTTATTATACTAATAATACATTTGAAGTATTGATAATGCAATATTAGACATTATAATCTATAACCAATTAGAAGTTAGAAACAGGTAGAGTTTTTAAGTAAATTAGAAAGGATACTCTGATTAAAGCCTGCTCTCTTTTATCTTCCATAAGTGGGTAAAAGACAAAAACACCATAATCTACATTGATTATACAACTCAAAAATTTTAGTTCTTTAGGAGAGGCAAATCTATGTTAGCTGTCATTTGGAGGCCCTTACCTACTTCATCTCTAACTTTCTGAAGAACAATAGGTATTTAGAGAAATTCTTCATGTAGCCTCTGTAGAGCTCTTCTTTTTGGCATACATGGTGCACATATATACTACACACATATACATATACACACACTTGAGGACTTTTCTACCCTTGATCAGAGAGATAAGAAAAAATATCTAAACAAATAAACCTTTAATTTTGGCCTAAGTAGAAAATCAGAGAAAACTTCCATTGTAATTTGCAAAAGAAAATTATACGGAGAAAACAATATTTGTAAAAACTTTTCATTCTCTGTTGTTTCTTTTGAAAGTTATCATTTTCATTAAAATGACTAACCTTGTTATAGCATTTTAAAATAAATCCCTCTTTAACTATAGTATCCATGAAGCCTGTCTGTTAATACCATCAAGCCAGGTACTACAGTTGTTGTCAGTTTAAGTCTAGGAAAAGGATCTAAAAGACAACATACCCTTGGTTGTGTGGAGACAGGATCTCCTATAGACCAAGTTGTCCTTGAATTTGAACTTTTTTTTTTTTTTGGATGGTGCTGCAAAGAGAACATTATTCTAAAGATTTTAAAATTCATTCTACAGAATAAAATAATGTATTCTACTTCCCATTTCTTCATGTGATCTTGTTTTTTCTTTTTCCTATGAATATCTCAAAAGTATTTTGAGTGTATTTACTGTAGATTTGGACTTGTGGCATAGTCTTCTTATATAAAGATGTAGGAAGCAACAATAACTTGGTTGGAATGGCTATGGAGAAATCTGCTGAATAAAAGCAGATTATATAGAGATGATAAAGTATCTGTGAACACATAGAATTTTGTTGTTGGTGGTGGTGGTCATGGGGCTTGAACTTGACCTGGGCACTGTCCCTCAGCCCTTCAGCTCAAGGCAAGCACTCTACCATTTGAGCCACAGCGCCACTTCTGATTTTCTGGTAGTTTATTGGAGATAAGAGTTTCACAGACTTTCCTGCCTGGGCTGACTCTGAATTGAGATCCTCAGATCTCAGTCTCCTGAGTAACTAGGATTACAGGCGTGTGCCACCAGCACCCCACTTAGAAATTTTTATAATCAGATTAAATAATTGTAAAACAGGCCAGCCTAAAAAGAAGATAAAAAGCAAGTGTAATCACACCATGCTGCAAAATCATTATTGAACTTGTACTGTTTTCAAATCATTTGTTTTTCTCTATAAGCGAAATAGTCAACATTTTTAAGCCCTTTGATGTATTTCAGACATTTATTGGGACATTTGATGCTTATATCCAGATATTTCTCCTGGAAAGTACAAAACAAATGCACATGACAATGTTTCCTCATGCCTTTAAAACCTTTTTGTCTATATTTGTTTGAATACTTATGTAATCAACATTTCATCCATTCCTTAGATGAACATATGATTTATGAAATTGTTTTTAAGGCACTTACTGTTTCCATCACAGATCTAAACGAGCAAAGATGTTATTAAAAGTGAATAGGCAGAAGGAAGAAGAAGACCTCAAATTAAGATCAAAGCTTCAAAGACAGAGAGCTATGAGACTTTCCCGAGAATTACGACTAAATATGCTTGAAATAGTTCATCCAGGTGAGTGACAATATAAACTTTACAAATTTACATCATAAAGTTATTGTAAAGTTTATATTGTAATGCTGAGTATCTTTTACTAAATAAAAGTCTTGACCTACCTGATAATTTCTTCTAAAAAATGAGAACTATTGTTCAGTTCTTTCTCTCTCTCTCTCTCTCTCTCTCTCTCTCAAATAAACCATTTTTTCTTCCTTTTTGCCAGTATTAGGGCTTGAACTAAGGACCTTGTGTTAACTCTTGGCTTTTTTGCTCAAGGCATTCTACCACTTGAGTCACACCTCCACTTCTAGCTTCTTGCTTGTTAATTAGAGATGTGAGTCTCTCAGATTTGTCTGTTGAGACTGGCTTTGAACTGCAATCCTCAGTTTTAGCTAGAATTACAAGCTCGAGCCACTGGCACCCAGCTCGGATAAACTTTATTAAAGCTTTGATGATGGTATGTAGCAGTGATATTCTAACTCCTTTCAAAGAGTATCTTTGTGTCTCTGACAGCTATCTTGAAGTTTATATTTATCTGAAAGGAAAGAAAATGGAGGCATTGCTCATAATCAAATATCAAGTCTGAATTGGAAAAAAGTTACAACTTCTTTTTATACTCAAGTCCTTTCTCTAAAGAAGCTTCATAGGGAGCCAAGCATGGTGACTCACACCTGTAGTCCCAGCTACTTGGTGGAGAAGGAGCACAGAAATAAAATTATAGTCTAGCCCAGACTAAAAGTTAATTGGACCCTACATCCAAAAACAGGCTAAGTGTTTTGATACATGCCTATGATCCAGGGTATTAAGGAGGCAGAAGTATCAGGGTCCAAAACCAGCTCAGGAAAAAGTACAAGATACTAAGACACTACCTGAAAAACAAACTAAATCAAAAAGGAATAGGGGTATGATCCAGATTATAGAGTGCTTGCCTAGCACTGATTTCAAATCTCAGTATAGGAAAAAATAATAATAAAAGAAGCAGCAGCAGTGGTGATTACATAGTCTGGGAGACTTAGTTTCTAACTCTTAGAACTATTATAAAATGATAGAATTAGAAAAATTAATAACCAATATTGAAAAATGGACTGCAAAATCATAGTCCTGATTTTAGAACTTGAGAAGATATAACAGTAAACATGTTGTAATATATGTCATCTTTTCAGGTCAAGTGGAGAAGTTCAATAAGGAACTTGAAGAGAAGTCAGCAATTATTATCCAGAAACATTGGAGAGGATACAGAGAAAGGAAGAATTTTCGCCAACAGAGGCCATCTCTTAGAGAGTATAAAGCAGCTGTTATACTTCAAAGAGCAGTGAGTCTGACTAGAAACAAAAAGTTCTGGATAAGGAAACAAAATAATGTTCAAATCTGGCTTTGCTGTTTACCTCAAAGTGTTTTGGCTTTTTTACTTTCCATCTGCATCCTGGAAGCTCATGTCTGCTCAATTTAAAAAAAGAAGTATGAGTCTATGTTGAAGTAAGCACAAACAAAGTATGAGCAAGCAGGGCATGGGTGGCACATACTTGCAATACTAATCCTAGGAGGCTGAGATCTGAAGATTGCAGTTCAAAGCTGGCCCAGGCAGAAAAGTATGTGAGTTTTATCTCCAGCTACCAAAAACCAAAAGTGGAGCTATGTGACTAGAGGACCAACTTTGATACAGGCCTTGAGTTCAAGCCTCAAGATCACACACACACACACACACACACACAAGAGCAATAGAGGACCAACCCTTGACACACACACACACACACACACACACACACACACGAGCAATAGAGGACCAACCTTGATCCAGGCCTTGAGTTCAAGCCTCAATATCAGAATGT